ATAATAATAATAATAATAATAATAATTTTATAATATAACATTTACGGATATCATAAAAATGGGAGTGACAGACATCTATAACTGAAATCGGCAATTACTTAGTTGCCAACCCAACATACCCTTTAAGAATATGCAAGAAAAAAAGAAAATTGATTTTTTCGAAAGTTCACACTAGAATACCCCTTCAAGCAACTCGTCGCACTCTTTGTGATCAGGGTTAAATTCGTTGAAGGCTTCCATACTTCGATCTCGGTCCGAACAGGTATTGTGCCGGACTCGGCTCGATCGCGGCCATAATGAACGCCAGCTTTGAAAAAAGAAAGATCGATTCGCGCTATAATAATACGAACTTAGCAGTGCGACGTCGGGGCAAAGGAAATGCATTGCATAATGGATGACAGCGCACGACGAAAGAGGGTGAATTCATTGCGTTCGTGCTGATACGTCACCGTTTCCTGGAAGCACCGCACACCCCTGTGTGAAAAGATACACGCCGCGATGCTTAAATAGACGCTCGTCTTTTATTCACGCATTGGTTCAATTACCTGACGTTGTCTACGGTGTGCTCCAGTTCGAGCGCGTCGTCGTCCGCCGATCACTGTGGGAGTTTGCGCGAGTTTACACTCTCACAGGCGAACCCGAAGAAATTGACATTACACTGAACGTTCTTCCCTTTGTTAAGAGCGATCGCCGTGAATTAAAATTGAAATGCGGCCGCCTAAAGTTACATTAGACGGGCAAGCTTTTGCGGTCGAACGCGGATAAATACGACGCGGAAGAACACGGTAATGTCTCCCTAATTTGCGCTTAGGTTCTGCACAAAAATGGAAAATTTGGGAAATGGAGATACGATTGTTCGAGCCTTGCGTCTCATTTTCATAGTTGTTGGCAATTGGTAACTATAAAAACGAACCGTAAGGCTTAATAATTGTATTAATCTTGATAATTAATCTTAACAAAATGTTATCTCTTCTTCCCAAATTGTCCATTTTTGTATAATATACAGAAATTGTATTATATACAATCTGTGCGTCAATTGGGGAGAATTTATATAATAAAATGTAAATCATAATAAAATGATAAAAATATATTTCGCACAAAAATGGAAGAAGAGATACGATTATTCGAGCCTCGCGGCTCGTTTTTATAGTTGCCGATTGTCAAGAGTTATAAAAACGAGCTGTAAGGCTCGAATAATCGTATCTCCTTTTCCAAATTATTTATTTTTGTTTACAAGTTGAAGGAAAATTAAGGAAAATTTACAATACTCTTCTTTATTCAAGCATACATTGTAATAGAAATCGTGCAAAGTTCGGATAAATAAAATATATTCATTGTTATAAAACGATATACTATATACTATATTATACATATATAAAATATAATAAATAAGGTTTTTGATTATTATATTATATAATAAACGTTTTCTGTGATTGAAGTTATTAATCTGATTTAGAGAACTACATGAATATTTCTTACAATATGAAAAAGGTTTTTGATTATCGTATTTTGTATATGATACATATTATATATGATGTATTATATTTTGGGAGTAAGGTTATTAATATGATCTGTAGCTATATAAATACTTTTTAACAAATATGAGACTCAATTTAAAAGTATAAAAACAGTTTCCCATTATTATATAATAACAAACAACTTTAATCACCATTTACGTACGTTAATGTGATTATTGAAAAATTCAAGTAATCTCGAACTGATCGAGTTCGCAATGTTTCGACGCAAACCTGCCTGCACTCATTCGTTTGGAAATATGGAATATTTACCGAAACGACAGTACTATCAGTAATTGACAGTCCGGTTAATAGTTAATTATTTGCATGTTAATTCTCGTGCGGCGGCTCCGAGGCACCGCAAAAAAAGACTGTTACATCGCGGTCCAAAATAATTTCTCCGCTATCTGTGTCCACGTTTCGAACGGCTTCGTATTAAAACGGCTTCGAGCGCGAAGGATTAATTCCGCGGTAGCATTTAGCAGTTTCGAACGCGAAACCATTCGCCGTCATACAAGTAATTTTACTTGGAGATTCCGCTAATTGAATTTCGATCGAAATATAAAACGATACCGAGAGGGGGCTGCACGCGTTCGATGGTCCTTACGGGAGGTAAAAAACCGCGCCGCGTATACGGTATTTGCCGGTGAATCCGCCGCGAGGTCGTTAATTAAAGATCCAGCGGATTGAAAGTCCGCCGCGGCGCTTCGTCGTCCACGAGAATGAATGCCGAAAAAGGGCTCGCTCGAAATTACAGAAGCCGCGGACTTTTCAGCGAGGGAATCGGGGACGCGCCGGTTCAGAAACGAGGCCGAATTGACGCTCAAAGCAAAAACGGTGGTACTGTGGTATCGATCAGGTGGTACGTAGACAGCGATAACAATCATGTCCGTTTAAAGACGTCACTGCGATGCCGTGCCGTATGAAATATAGATTCGTTCTACCCGTGATGTGTGTATAGGATATTCCTGGACGATTACGCCCCTTTGTATCCTTCGGACTCGCTCGAGCGGAAAGCCCTTGCTATGCTAAGCGTTCTAATCAAACCGCGCTCTTCGAATTTATTCAGCCGAAAGGTAGGAAATCTCAGCGAGGTCAGTACAGTAATTTCTCTCGGAAATGCCAAATTTCGGGTTGCTGCGAATTTCCCTGTGCTAGTCCTACGCCTGTGTAATAACGCCCTCCGAATTGCCTTCGAATAGTAGCATATACCCTCCGAATTGCCTTCGAATAGTGGCATATGCTCTCTGAATTGCCTTCGAATCGTGGCATATGCCTTCCGAATTTCTTTCGAATCGTGGCATATGCCCTCCGAATTGCCTTCGAATAGTGGCATATGCTCTCTGAATTGCCTTCGAATCGTGGCATATGCCTTCCGAATTTCTTTCGAATCGTGGCATATGCCCTCCGAATTGCCTTCGAATAGTGGCATATGCTCTCTGAATTGCCTTCGAATCGTGGCATATGCCTTCCGAATTTCTTTCGAATCGTGGCATATGCCCTCCGAATTGCCTTCGAATAGTGGCATATGCTCTCTGAATTGCCTTCGAATCGTGGCATATGCCTTCCGAATTTCTTTCGAATCGTGGCATATGCCCTCCGAATTGCCTTCGAATAGTGGCATATGCTCTCTGAATTGCCTTCGAATCGTGGCATATACCTTCCGAATTTCTTTCGAATAGTGGCATATGCCCTCCGAATTGCCTTCGAATCGTGGCACATGCCCTCCGAATTGCCTTCAAATCGTAGCAAAAAATTAGAAATAAAAAAGTCAAGTCATCGTTTTTTTTCCTAAGTTTCTATAAAAACGAGCCGCGAGGCTCGAAGAATCACGGCTTAGTATCCTCAGAATTTCCTGCATCTTATTGTCTACTCGAATAATGTCGATTTAAATAAACGCAATCTTTTCGTTCATCGTCGATAAATAATCCTCGGACGACGGACCATTCTAACAATTATACAATTAACGATTATCAGAATTCTCATCAGCTTTATTCGTTAATTTTGTCGAAACATATTCTCGAAGATAGTCCTTGAAGACTTATTACTCTTTCTGTTGTTCTTAACGTAATGACAATTTATTTTATTTTATTTTTGTAAATCAGTCAGATACAGAACCGTAAAGAGATTAGAACAATTTCAGGATACTTAGTTACATTATTTTCAATTTATTACGATTATTAAAAAAGCATGGACATTTTCGTGTAATCCACGTTCTTTTCAATTAACACAGGCAATTTTCATTCAACTATTTTCAATTAAATTATTTGAAATCTAATTATTTTGATATTCGTCTTTAATTATTTAAAAAAATTGAAAACAGTGCAACAGCACGTTTAAATTATAATAAATAAACTCCTAAAACGGACCGTTCGTATTTATCGTTTATCAACTGTTATCTCATGTTGAAAAATTGTCGACAGAAGGGTAGGATTTGATTGCGCTTTCAAAAACCCGAATAACATCCATACTTAGCGGATCGTGTTCGAAATCTGCAGGGCAAGCGATTAAGCCCGAAAAAAAGATATAAGTCGAACAAAAGACAGACAATTAGTCTCGTTATCCCCCCCCCCCCTCTCGCCATCCACCCCCACGCAGTCCAAGTTGGATAACAAAGCGCGAACATGCTCGGCACGGCCGCGCGTCGTTTCCAATTAAGTCGTCGATGTCGTGTACAGCGGCCATATCGCCGGGCCGAATCTATTAGCTAATAAATCCATTGTTAACGAGAAAACGGCAAGTCAAAGGTCCGTCTGTGTTCCAGGCTGTGCTCCCTGACCCTGACCCGGCTGGTGATTCTACGGCCGCTTGGCTCCGATCTAACTTCCATCAGCATCGCGGTGAAGATGCACGGCTCGAAAAGGACGCTGCGCTCGAACGAGATGGCCATACCTCCTGGCGGCATGCTGGACACCGAGCTGGAGCTGCAATTCGCCCTTCAGTATCCCCATTTCCTGAAGAGGGACGGCAACAAGCTGCTGATACTGCTGCAGAGACGGAAACGGTACAAGAATCGCACGATGCTCGGCTACAAGACCTTGGCCGAGGGTGTCATCAACATGGCGCAGGTAGGTCGATGGAAACCCGCCGGACCGTCACCCTCTACAGCATTATCAACCCTTTGATAAGCGACCGTTCGAGAAACCGAAACACGCGCGCTGACCACAGGGGCTAGCTTAACTACCATTAACTCCGCCTCCGTTGTTAGCGTGTCGGATTCCGGTTTTCTTTTGGGCGATTACGCTGGAGAGAATTGCGTTTACATAATTGCGCACGATAAAATAGATGGTCGACCAATTTTTAAAGACCTGTTCGACGGTGCTCTTGTTAATTCGGAAGCTGGATGACTATTCGAACATAATTCTCGATTTATTAAATTTTATTCGAAATATAACGGCGATCGCACAGGTTATTATGCTATTGGGTTGGCAACTAAGTAATTGCCGATTTCAGTTATAGCTGTCTCTTATACACATCTAGATGTGTATAAGAGACAGATTTCCACGGCACACGTACTGCGCTCGTTCTTGCTACCCGCGCGATCTATTGCGTTGGCAACTAAGTAATTGCCGATTTCAGTTATAGCTGTCTCTTATACACATCTAGATGTGTATAAGAGACAGATTTCCACGGCACACGTACTGCGCTCGTTCTTGCTACCCGCGCGATCTATTGCGTTGGCAACTAAGTAATTGCCGATTTCAGTTATAGCTGTCTCTTATACACATCTAGATGTGTATAAGAGACAGATTTCCACGGCACACGTACTGCGCTCGTTCTTGCTACCCGCGCGATCTATTGCGTTGGCAACTAAGTAATTGCCGATTTCAGTTATAGCTGTCTCTTATACACATCTAGATGTGTATAAGAGACAGATTTCCACGGCACACGTACTGCGCTCGTTCTTGCTACCCGCGCGATCTATTGCGTTGGCAACTAAGTAATTGCCGATTTCAGTTATAGCTGTCTCTTATACACATCTAGATGTGTATAAGAGACAGATTTCCACGGCACACGTACTGCGCTCGTTCTTGCTACCCGCGCGATCTATTGCGTTGGCAACTAAGTAATTGCCGATTTCAGTTATAGCTGTCTCTTATACACATCTAGATGTGTATAAGAGACAGATTTCCACGGCACACGTACTGCGCTCGTTCTTGCTACCCGCGCGATCTATTGCGTTGGCAACTAAGTAATTGCCGATTTCAGTTATAGCTGTCTCTTATACACATCTAGATGTGTATAAGAGACAGATTTCCACGGCACACGTACTGCGCTCGTTCTTGCTACCCGCGCGATCTATTGCGTTGGCAACTAAGTAATTGCCGATTTCAGTTATAGCTGTCTCTTATACACATCTAGATGTGTATAAGAGACAGATTTCCACGGCACACGTACTGCGCTCGTTCTTGCTACCCGCGCGATCTATTGCGTTGGCAACTAAGTAATTGCCGATTTCAGTTATAGCTGTCTCTTATACACATCTAGATGTGTATAAGAGACAGATTTCCACGGCACACGTACTGCGCTCGTTCTTGCTACCCGCGCGATCTATTGCGTTGGCAACTAAGTAATTGCCGATTTCAGTTATAGCTGTCTCTTATACACATCTAGATGTGTATAAGAGACAGATTTCCACGGCACACGTACTGCGCTCGTTCTTGCTACCCGCGCGATCTATTGCGTTGGCAACTAAGTAATTGCCGATTTCAGTTATAGCTGTCTCTTATACACATCTAGATGTGTATAAGAGACAGCTATAACTGAAATCGGCAATTACTTAGTTGCCAACGCAATAGATCGCGCGGGTAGCAAGAACGAGCGCAGTACGTGTGCTGTGGAAATTCTTGCTGGTCAAGGAGTATGGAAGATTCGGGTAGCGTCGGTCGTTGCTGCGACGTTATCGCCCTTTCCGCTCCACCGATCTGGTCTCTTAACTCCGAGTTGGTTTTCTTTCGATGCGATCTTTCTGCACAATTTTGACCGACAGGTGAAGATGTCTACTACTAACAGGCTCACGAACACGTGTCATATTTTGTTCTTTTTATTGACACTTCGACTAGGAAAGACGTGCACAGAGTGTCCGATTTTAATCTATAAATGAAAATAACTTGTTGATTATACACTGCATAAAAGAAATGTTTGCTACAGAAATTAAATGGTTTCGAGGGGGCAACAGGACATAATTCAATTCAATAAAATAATTCAATTTGTTCCGTAAGTGGACGCGTGCAAGGCAAACGCGAAGGTCAACTTTGTTTTTTCAAACGGAGTCATATAATTTTGAACACACTTATCGGTTCAATCCATCGTTCCGAGCAAAAAGATATTGGACCTCGCGTGTCAACGAATTATTAGTTTACAAGATATTTAAGTAGAAACATTGCAAGCTCGTACAAAAGAATGTTCGTCAAAGTTCGGGTAAGTGGATATGTAGGGTCAGTATGGTAAGTATTGGTATTACTGCGGACACCCCAAATACTGCGGTATTTTATAAAAATAATAAAATCTAATATTTTATAGTGGGTAATCTTCTGAAAATGAATCTTACAATTTTTTACATGTTTAATATTGACAATTTATGACATGCGAGTAACAGCAATCGCAATTTTAATTCATTTATTGACTTTTGATATTCGGAAGCTTATGAAAACGTTGAGTCTTACGAAACACTTGTAACGGCAGCTGTGGACGCTGGTTCGAAAGGCATTTATATTTTAGTAATTAATATTAAACTATTCATTTTAGCGTTATTTTTAGATAAACTAATCATTACTTTGATCAAAAATCGGCATACACTCTCAGTATCATCTGTCCTCAAATATTATTTACTAACACAGTATTTGGCGCATAGTTTTAAACTATGTGTGTATATTACTGCGATGCTTTACCGAACTGCGTTCGGTTTAATTAATTAATTAGTTAGCTTAACCTATACAGTGCAGTTCTCGATGAGCCGCTGCAAGCACGCTTAATCGTAGAGTACCTATACCTAATTTGTAAAGTGTTACAGTGAGAATATCTTGATCCTAGGAATTGTAGCTGTGTGTGTACATTTAAAAGAAAATGGGTTATGCCAACTTTGACACGCAGTAATCGGAACGTCCGCAGCATTTGGCTCGCAGTAATAGATACATAATCGCAGTAATATATGCACGCGTGTAGTTTCTTTACGTCGCGCTTTTTAATGAAATTTGTGCTTTCAGAGATCCAGTATTTTGAGAAAAGTAAATATTCGAGTTAAAGAATAATAAGTATAGCTCAAGTTGTCAATTTATTGGCGTAAAAGGTCTTTCTTTCTCTGTCAAAGTTCGCCTTCATTGAGAAACCGCAGTAATACCTACACTTACCCTAAATATTTAACAAGACTATCACTCCGATAGAAATGGTTTCGTCTTAATCGCTGGCAGTTGTCTGTAACGTTAATCGCTCGTAACCCTTCTGTCCGCAGGTTCTACAGAAGCAGATGGACCTGGAGCTGGAGCTGGTATCTTACAAGGCCGAGAAGTACGCCGGTCATTCGGTCGCTTTCGCTCGCGTCAGCGTGGTTGCGTTGAGCTCGCAGCCGGTCGACCAGGACAAAAGACTGATGAACGACCCGAACGAAAGACTCTGTCCGGAATACAGCGACGAAGAGGAGGAGTTCAGCTCGGAGGGCGAGGCGGAGGGCAGCGACAGCGAGCCGACTCTCGAGATGCACAGGCGGAAGAGCCGAGCGAAGATTCCGAACGCCAGGGTGCGTGAAACGAATTAGTTCTGCTTTGTTAAATTCTCGTCGTTGTCGAGCGGATCGCACCCATCGGGGAACGTTTCTTTCTCCACCCTTGGGACACAGCTATCGACCCCCGTCGTCCACCATTTCCGCTACCCACTTTGTCTCGGTTATGTGTTCCCGCACCGTGACGTGCAAACTTGCCACTCCACGGTGGTCTCGGAAACAATAATTTCTGGCCGAAATTCAATTGTTCGATTCTCATGTTCGAGAACAAAATTTCTTTTCCTAATTGAGCCGTTTATTCTGAAAGTGACATAAGTCACTTTGTTTTTAAGTCGAGATATTTAAGGTTTAAACGTTTTAACACGTTTAAAAATATGGATGCTAACTTTCGAGAAGATTTACTTGTATTTGTTATCTCAGGATACCGATATTTTTCTCAGTATAAATAATTTCGTATAAACATTAAAAAATCACCACTTTTCATTACGGTAAAGTGACTTAAGCCACTTTCGAAATAAATAGTTTAGAAAAATGACTGACATATATTAATTTTGTCCGACGTATTTTACTGAAGTGATGTTTTGAAAGGACAGTGATTTACTAAAATTGTTGAATAAATTACATATAGAATAATAATTTATGCCATGAACATATTTAATATAAAGGTTTGATTTAAGTATTTTTTATTTTAATATTCATAAAATACAAAAATAATTAGTACATTTTGAAACATAAGTATAAGTAATTTCTATGAAAATACATCGGTTCAATTTAATTTTCGTCATCAATAGGAGTGATTAAGTCCTCGGAAATCGTGTTTTGTTTCAAATTTTTTAAATAACTGTGGTATATGGGGGTATATAATTAAGCAAGTCCATCATGTCTTTCTATTTTGCTGAAGAAACAGGACGAGATCCAGCGTAAATAATATAATATAATATATAATATATATAATATATATATTATATAATATAATTTACAAAATTGCGCTATTCTTCCGCACTTATAAAAATAAGTCCAGTGATCACAACTTTTTTAAAAATACTGAAAATAATTCAAAACAATACTTCATACACACTTATCACACGTTTCTATTTCTTTTACACTAAGCCCCGCAATTAATTTCCTGAGTACAGCGACTTACGCCAATTTCAAAATAAACATGTTTGTTATACCGTTAATTAGCAAAACTTCTCTCGAACAAATCTCAATAGTTCTCAATTTATTGATTGCAAATTTTTTTAAAATGAAAAGAAACCGTTAAATTATAATTAGTGTTACCATTAACTCGATTTTTTTGAAAAAGTGACTTATGCCACTTTCAAAATAAACGGCTCAATTATCGACGACACCTTGGTACTTTGAGATCCGGAATATTAACAATCTCATTGTAACGCCGTGTGTTTTTCGTAGACTGCGGATTTTCATGCGAAATAAAAATTGTCCGTGTCGATTATAAGAAACGCAAGTCGGATGAAGATCTTTTTTCCTATTTTGACCCTTTGCATCCGAGCGATGACTCAGAGACACCGCTAAAATTGTTATGTCACGTTCCAAAATAATTTTTATATTAACAAAGTATAGATTTAAGAAATTGTTAAAAGTATGACTGTTGTATGAGTGACATAACTCAATTTCATATGCATAAAATGCAGTTTGTCGTATAAATTGGAAATACTGTAAGTCAGAAAAATGATTTTAGATCTACAGTTAGAACGGCTTCGAGTGCAAAGGGTTAATAATTTTATATAATTTGTAATATTATAAATAATAATATATATAATAATATATTATATTATATTATATATATAATATATATAATAATATATTATATATATTAATTTTATATATATATATATATATATATATATATATATTATATATTATAAATAATATATATAAATAATAATAAATTTACAATTTTGTGTCTGATTCAGTCATTTTTGCCAGAAATACGTAAAATTCGCAGTCCGTTGATTAGGCACGGCGTGTTGTAAAGACAAAAATTTGAAGTTAAGATTGAAACTGTTTGTTTGAATCACTCGTTAGAAGATACCGAAGTGCAAGTTCTTGCTATACTTTTATTAATCCATATTTGAATAATTATTGTTACACTTTGTCGAAGATTCGCAGCTTGCTTGTTGTTCTGTTTCTCGATTTTTTACTTCAGATTTGCAGCGTTGATTTACAAAACAAACCATGCATTTTGATGTTTTAGCTGGTTCTTTCGAATGGTTCCGAATGTGAAGAATATTTTTCCCGAAAAATTTCGGGACTTCTCTATTTTTTTTTGTCCGTGGTCCTGTGAATTTTTATGTCTACCACTCTAGAAGATTAATTTGACAACACGGTACCAGCGGTTATTTGAATTACCTTATCCTAAAAACATAGAAGAAGCACGACCTACATGTTGATCGACGCAGTTTATCGGTGATCAACTGATAGATCGTACTTGAGATATGCATTACATTATTCTAGGATAAGATAATTTGAATGACAATTGATAACGGTAGAAATTGACACCAGTAAATTATTAATCAAAATATTTTCATATATAAATATTAATCAAAATATTTTCGTTAAGTCAGTAGCAAATATTTTCATTTGCCCGGTAAATTAACTGATCCAACATATGTTTCATTAATCCAGTAAATGAAGTAGTCCAACATATATTTTCCATAAGACCAGTACATTAACTGATGCAACATATTTTTCATTAAGCCAGTAAATTCCCTGGTCGAACGTATTTCTTCATAAATCCAATAAATTAACTAAATGAAGCCCCAGTAAATTAACTAGTCCAACATATTTTTCATCAACCTAGTAAATTAACCGATCCAACATATTTTTCATTAAGCCAGTAAATTCCCTGGTCGAACGTATTTCTTCATGAATCCAATCAGTTAATTAAACGAAGCCAGTAAATTAACTAGTCCAACATATTTTTCCATTGAATCAAGTAAAATGCTTGTTCCATGATATTTTCACGTAGCTCCGAGAACCAGCTTAAACACGTACATTTTTGTGTCGCGCCATTTTGTTTGTCGCTTTTATAACATGAAAAGTCAACTGTGACCGACGATCCATCAATTCTGTATCATTTAAGCGATACCGTACTAAACGGTTGGAAAAATTAGAACGGTAGTTCACGCGCGCCTAGACCCCTAAAATCGTCGGTTAATTTAATTAGTGTTGGCCCGAAGATTGTTGCAGATGTAGTCGGGAAACGCGGCACTAAACAGTGGACATTATTGGAACACCGTGCACGAAACGGGGTACAATTTACTTTCGACGTTTTACTAAGCTTGCTAAACGTTTACTTTACTATTTTTATGCGCCGAGTCGGCTTTTTGGGAGTCTCTTTGAAGTCGTTCTGTTATGCTTCGTCTTGTGTATACAGTGTTCGTCAAATCATAACAGCGTGGACGGCTGTTTTTGGGCAGTCGCGACATGTTTCGTGTTTCTCTTTCTATCTCTTTCTATCTCTATCTTTCTCTCTCGTTTTTTTCGTTTCCAAAACACTAGATTACAAGAGATCTCATAACGCCGAATTATCAAAAAGAGCTTCAGAAGATCCCGCTAATAAGTGTCGTTTCTATGATTTTCAGCGTTTAATTGAACGATTGTCGCTGTTGCAGCAAAGGAATTTAAAGCAGAAGTTCATAGCCCTGCTGAAACGACGGTTTAGGGTATCCGAGGATCTTGATCAGGATCAAGAAGAGATCGGACAGAAACTTTCAGGTGAATATTGAACATTCGACAATGAAATATCTGCTAGAATCCAGCGGACGAATTTACGTTTCGAAATTATGCGGAAGTGAGTACCTATTATGAAACCCCGCACGATCGGGGCCCCTTCTTGAAACAGTAGCACAAATAATACAATAACAAATAGGTAGAGTACATTAAGTATTGAGTGTAAAAATTCTGCCCATATCATTGAACACTGTTCTTTACAAATTCACTAACACGAATGCCGTCGTGTAACGATCAACCGAAAAAGAAAATGTTTATTCGAATGTGTTTTCGAACACGTGCGCGATTTTCTTCATCGAATTTTTTTTTACACCGAAAGTAAAACAAATTTAACTCCTCTTGTTACGTCACATCCTTGTAGATATGTAGTATGTAAAACTCGAGTTTTCATTTTGCATACGGGTAAGTAAAACAAGAGCAACGAATAATGAAACAGGAGAGGGCTTTAAGAAAAGAACGCGAATAAATAAAATGCGATGCAAAATAAAATAAAAAATGAAGAAAAAATGTAATTTTACAGGTTTAGGTTAAATTTATAACATTAATGTTGCATGGTTTAAAGTATATATACATATATTTCTATTAGCAAACGTAGAAGAATGAAAGAGAAAATTAATTATTCACTTAAATCTTTTCCGTATAAATTGAAAGATATAATAACAAAAAACATATGTTACACTCAACAGACGGTTCAAACCGATGCTTGTAATTAAGAATATGTATGAATCTGTTGTTCGTTGGGGGGCAATGCACTCGGTACATGCTCGTACTTCTCTATTTTGCTCGTGTTGCTTTTTAGTCGCATTAAATAAATATTTCGAAGTAGTATAGATATTCAATAGTAGCACTTTTAATCGTAACGTAATCGATGGTAATGTTACACCTCCTGAGAATCGTTCCATAATTGGTACTTTTACTCGTGGATTTACCATGGTTTCGTGGTAGCAGGCGAATGCCATTGTTCCTTCGTAATTTTAGTAGCTCCGCGTTGCGGAAAATTAGCCTCGAGCTAATTAGAATGAGCGGGGTAATCGACGATCAAATCTTGTCCAACGAGAACGTTAAATAATTTGTAATACAAGCCAATTTTCACTCGTTACGAACGGTTAAAGCTGCATCAGTAACTGCGATTGTTCAATGACGATTGATTGAACGCGTTAACGGACGGTTAACGGATGTCGCCGTTTGCCGTTTCCGATAACTTGAAAACGTGACGTTAACAGTAATCGTTCCACCTCGTATTAATTAGTCGAACGTTACACAGTCGATTAGGTTACAATCGACTACAAGAATCAATTACAAGAAAAATACAATTCGAATGTCACGAACGACACCTTTTCGTGACCGTTGATGTTTTTAAATGATCGATACGTGAAGCGGCTTTCGCAGCTATCGTTTATAATCATTTCTCTCTTTATGTCATAGCACGTCGTCGATTTATCATTATCGTCTCCATTACGTGCAGATTTCTCGAACACAAAAAATCGTGCAAATTAACAAGGTCTAACATTGCACTTCCATTACTGTCTTCGCGAGCGAGCGAATATTTTCGTTAACGAAGGAAACTTTTCTTCGATTCTAATTATATTTGTAATAGTCGCGTATCGTCGTTCATCGAAAACAGAAAAATCGAGGTTTTTAATTTATCGTAAGAATGACGGAACGCAGATCTGAAACAACTCTTTACGCACGCTATAAACGCTGCTGGGATGTTAACAAAGATTTGTCTGCGCGTATCCATCCAACGTTCGAACTGCCTAACGAAAGAATTGTCGAACGGAACGGAGGAACGCGCAGGATTGTAGAGAAAAGACTGATCAAAGTACAGTAAATTCTCTCAAATTAACGCTCAGATTGTGCACGAAAATGGACAATTTGAGGAGAGGGGATACGATTATTCGAGCCTTGCGGCTCGTTTTTACAATTACCGATTGTCAACAACTACATAAGTGCATAATTATAGTTACGTGGAAATAAATAACTATAGTTACGTAGCAACAAATAATTATGGTTATGTAGAAATAAAAAGCTGATATTATATAGATTATTTATTAATTATATAGATATGAAAAATATTTTGAAAACGTTAAATCATTTTCAAAATAATATCGAGAATAGCTTCGAAAGTAGCATAGATAAAAATGCGAATGTTAACAGTAGCAATTAAGGTTGGCAGATGTGTGCGTTAGTTGAACAATTATATCGGAAGACGTTAAAACGTACGATCCTTCCGTAACGCATTTATACGATAAAAGTAACGAAGGAAATTCTTGGTTAGATCAGAGCCCAGATACTCTCTTATGGACGGCGGTGAATCATCGGGGTAATTACTCTTTTTGCTTGCGTAAATGTACAAATTTAATTGTGACCGTTTTACCAGTTATTTGGACTTGTGGATGTATGTACTGGTTTTTCATCTTCGCCGCTTGAAGTAATTTGTTGAACCTCTTTACATCGTAGTCCACAACAGAAATCGTAGAAAATAGTAGAAAAAATTAAAGATCACATTGTGACTGAACTTATAGACGGTCGGTCCGAGTGAATTAAAATAAAATAAGATATCTAAGTGAATTAAGATGGAACAAAATATCTCTAAGCGATAACCTTGACACAACCCTTTCGAGAAGATCGATGGAAGAGACGAAGGGTTAACGATACGCGCTGGGTTCTTTTCATAGGTGGAGACATGGAGATCGAGGAGCTGTTCGACGAGCTGGAAGACCTGTCCGACAGTGGCCCGGAGCTGGACACCATGTCCGTCAGCAGCACGCCTAAGCCGTCCCTGCGTCCCTTCTTCAGCTCTAGTCGATCCCTTCTGGCGCCACCTCATTCCGGTAAGTAAACGGATGAATCCACGCGAACGTCCGTGCAAATCCGTAGAGAGAACTTTTGTGACGCGTGACATCACGATACGAAAATCCACGAGTCCGCTTCCTGCGACAAGTCACGCGCGTTACGGACCGTCCGATAAGAGATTAACGATGCAATGTCGGGGCCCCTGCGTCTAATCGGTCTAAATGTCCCTTCTGTTCTATAGGTACACGGTAAGGAATGGTGTATTACGTATATTCACAGAGTATTGTATCACGAACTCGCTTCTGCTAGAGAGTAAAGAGTACCAGTCGCAATTCGTTGTTGCACTTTCTACGAACTCCTACAAATCACGCGATGCGGACGGACGACGCCGACGGCTGGGTCTATCGGGTAAACTGACGAATTTTATTGCATCATGCGAAGCAAGTTTTAACATAAATAATTATTAGCGGGTATAGAATGTTTTTGACCGACGATCGATAGACTCCTTTGTCCGTTCTGACTTTTGCAAAGCGATACATGAAAATTACTGCTTAATTTAACGTAGATATTACTTAATTGCTAATAGTATTGCTAATTTAGAATATCATCCTATAAAGTGATCTTGGTTTAAGTACGTAGGAATTTACACGTATTTTTACACGTATTCTGTGTCACAGCTTCTACTATTTTAATGAACATTATCGTTGCTCGATAAGGATAAAATGATTTTTAAAATAATTAACTGTAGAATGAGTAACTCCAGGTGCGATACATTCACCAGTTAGATGTTGCAATCTCTTTGAAAAGTATGCAAATTACTGTAATTATACCGTATATGTTTGATTTTCTTCATATTTTCCTCATATTTTCCCACATATTTTTCTTCATATCTTTCCTCATATTTTTCCTCATATTGTTCTTCACATTCTTCTTTATATTTTATACACAACACTTTCAAAAAATATACCATTTATTAAAGAATATCAAAGTTATAATAAACTACTATAAAAGATAGGAATTAGATGCAGAAGTGACACGGGAATACATTCAAAATGATGAAATCGCAGAGAACAATGGTGAACAAATGCGTAAACGATTCAAAATAGAAGTATCGATTTTAAGCAGTTTCTGCAATTTTCAATCGTTGTACGATCGACCCAGCCTGCGGCACTGCCGAATAAGCTGTCCTCGACACGAGACACAGTCGCTGGTTCACGCTTCGAACGAATAAGTCTCGGCGAATGATCGACGAAGGATCGACGCCGCGTTCGTAGGAAGTGCAGGGTCCTCGTAATTTTGTTCGTTCACGATTTCGGCCATAATGTTGACGTCTTGGTGATGCAGCATGATATGGCTGTTGCAGTTTTCCGATACCCGTCGGCAGCTCGAGGAACAGGTTCCGTTCGGATTTCAACGACGTTTAGGAGCACCGTGAATTTTTAAACGGTTCTCGGCTATAGTTCTAAATTGGTTCCGGACGGGGGATCGATCTCCCCGATGAAAATGTCAGAGGTGAATCGTTTCAATTTCGCGTATTACACGTATAATGAAGTGGATGCCGCGCGCAGTTTCGCGAGGACGATATCGAGTCGGCGTTCGTGGAGATTGAAATTGATCAAAGCGACTCCAAATACAAAAGTTACAATTCCGGATGAGAGATAAGATAATCGCTTAATTAAGTAGCGTATCGTTAAAATCTCGTTCGGGCTGTTCATAAATCGTGATTTAAACACTGATTAACGAAGATTTATGACGTATCATCGCGCCTAATTGGTGGCCGTTAATATCGCATCGTCGTGTGTACGGAGCACGCGATAGTGTCGGTGGATTAACTGGTACAGAGAATTCACTTTCTTACGATCGGAGCACGCGTTGACTCGACGAGCACGCTTGTGTCATTTAACGAGGTAGGTAACGAGACTACGAAAGAAGAGTACGGAAACTTCGTGAAAGACAAATTTTAATTAGCTCCGAAGGAATTTTAATAAGCACGGTTTCTCGGCGGAAAGCAGGTTCGCAGACGTCGTTAAACAAATTCGAACGAATTTTTTCCTCGACCCACACGTTTTTCAGTACCTTTTTCATTTCGATTCATTTCGTTCGACGAAAGCCTCGCCATTAGGAGCTATACGTTAAGGAATAATTACCGAAACGTTTGCGTCGCTTTGCGCCGTTGAACGTGGCCGTTTAATTATGTCCTGAACGAATATCCCCGTCGTCTCGCATTTATTTGTTACAAGTAATGTTTGTTCTCATGTGACCTGGCTTATGCTATGTTCTACCCATATACCGCACTTTTATATGTCTGTTTCGTTAATCGACGAATCATTCGAGGACACACGCCACATTATTGCCCAAATTATTTAGAGAGACAGCAGTCTGTTGTAAAACCACCCCTGCCACGTGTGACAAATCGTTACGAGGATCGATCTGAAAATTTTGAAATACGAAACGATCGTTCGCAAATCGTTCGGACGCGTGCGTTTTGTAATGAAAGAAAAATTCAATTTTCTTTGATATTGCATTCCAAACAGAAAGAATAAAAATATTGTCCCCTCTAATTTTGAAAATAACAAGGACATTCCACAGTTCGTAGAGATCGCAGCTATTATATTATTTTGTCAATAATTTTATTTTATTTATATTTCATCAATCTTGGCACTCTATTTCATGCGTTAATAATTCGAACCTCGGGCACCAGCCACGAGGGAGAATATTCTTTGTATTTTTCGGAAATATCGTACGAATTTAGGGGTCGCGCATGGATTCAATATGGCAGCCAACGTACACGGAAACATTTCAACATTTCCAGAACGATTCTCGTGATCCACGCCCCAGTAGAGTTCTCACTGTTGAGGGTTTCGGGTACAAGCCGTGTCCACTTCGAAAAATTGCAGTCTGAAAAAGCTGTGTTCCTCTTGAGGAAAGCCTTCGGCGAGGCAAAAATCATAATCGGGACGAGAGGGATGATTCAATAGGAACGACAAAAAAATACTAGACGTCACGACACAAGTCTGTGTGAGCTCCTCCATTTTTTAACTATTCGAAGATCAGCAAATCAAAATTTCTTAAACAATTCTCTGATATATGATTTTATATATTTTTTATGTAACTTTATGTAAATTTATATTTAAGTTTCATTATAAATTAATATATAATTTTTAAATGTATTATAAATGAATACATCATTTTTAAATTTGTTATGAATGAGTACATAATTTAAATATACTAATATATTATACTAATTACAAATGATTGCATAATTTTTTAATTTATTATAAATTTGTCTACGGACTTAAACTTTATCAGAAATTTATTTAATTCAATTCATTTCTATCATTTTATTCATAAATGGTTACACAAATTTATTGATCGTCTTATAAGCAATGCAAAAACATTAAATAGAAGCAAGAATGAGAAATGTTTTATCAGTCATTCATTAATATAGTGCAGCTTTCATGCATTTCTGACAAAATTGAGTAGTTGCAATTCAAAATAGCAGAAAGATTAAAAGAATTCAAAACTGTCAATGTATTGTTTCTAAACTATTAAAATAATTAAAGAAAGAAAGAACTTTCCATTCAGTTTCTATTTTTTGCAATCGTCGCAGACTATTTTTATTCTTCATGAAAATCCACAGTCTATTCGTTAAACACAAATTCTAACAAATGGTAAACACTGGTCTGCGGATTTTATGCATTTACGACAACAATTTTAAGACAATGAAAATATTCAAAGAATTCAGGGACATCTGTGCGTTACTTTCGACGCATTGAAATTTTTAAAAGAAGGAAGAAATTTCTATTCGACTGATGTTTGCCGCGATCGATGAAGAACAATTTGAATTGTTCATATAAACATCCGCTGTCGATCAACAAACTTTATTATTAACAACGAAAGGACACGGTTTGCCCCCGGAACCGCCAACAGTTCCGATCCCACCGTAGACTTTGCATTTTAATCTGACCGTTTCCAGTGGAACTCTCGAGTCACCCTTCGTATTAGGGTCGACGTTCGCTTAGGATCGCCATTGTTATCGCTCGTCCGAAGGCGATTAGGCGGCTAAGAGTAAAGAAATACAACCCGGCTAAAACGTTTCGTAGCCCGTACAGGTCCAGATCTTTTTTAACTAAGTGAAAGTCTGGTGGGTTGGCTTTGCATTGTTGCATGTTACGATTCGGTAGTAGTAACCAACGAGGAGACCGGAAGCACTTCTGCGACGGCCGTAGGTCAACAGAGCGCAGGTCAGCCACCTAAAGAGAAACACCGTGTCGGACACACCACGCCAGGTATGTAAAACAATACGTATACGGAAACATCGTCGTGCCTCGTGTAGTCCAGGATTTAAGGATAATTTAGCTGGATCGTTTTAAGGACCTCTGGCTTCTCACTAAGCGAGCATGGCTGCGTAAATCTAGCATGGTACTCGTTCTTTCTTAACCAGTTTCTTGGTCAGACGACGGTCTTTGCTTGCTCTACCCGTAGATTAGAAATGCGACGAGGAGCAAAAATTGTAGAACGATTTTTGATAGTGCTTTGTAATCGCTTTTCCCCAAAATATTATCACCTGGTTTTTGAAAAACGTTCTTAACAATCTTTCTATCTCCAAGATTTTATTTTATTTGTTTTCTTTTATTTTATTTTAATTCATTTAGATATTTTATTCTACTTTAATTCACTTTTATATATATATATAGATATTTTACTTTATTTTAATTCACTTAGATATTTTATTTTATTTTAATTCACTTAGATATTTTATTTTACTTCAATTCACTTTTTTAGATATTTTATTTTATTTTAATTCGCTTAGATATTTTATTTTATTTTAATTCACTTTTTTTAGATATTTTATTTTATTTCAATTCACTTAGATATTTTATTTTATTTTAATTCACTTATAGACCGACGTCTATAAGTTCGATCACAATATGATTCCGAATTTGTTGTGCTATTTTCTACGATTTTTGTTGGACTACGATATGAAGAGATTCAAAAAATTACTTCAAGCGGTAAAGATGAAAAATCAGTACATACATCCACAAGCCCAAATAGCTAATAAAACAGATACAATTAAATTTGTACATTTACGCAAGCAAAAAGAATAATTACCCCAATGATTCACCGCCGTCCATAAGTATCTGGGCTCTGATCTAACCAAGAATTTCCTTCGTTACTTTTATCGTATAAATGCGTTATGGAAGGATCGTATGTTTTAATGTCTTCCGAAATAATTGTTTTGCTAACGCACATATCTGCCAATCTTAATTGCTACTGTTAACATTTGCATTTTTATCTATGCTACTTTCGAAGCTATCCTCGATATTATTTTGGAAATGATTTAACGTCTTCAAAATATTTTTCCGTATCAGCTTTTTATTTCTACATAACCATAATTATTTGTTTCTACGCAACTGTAATTATTCATTTCCACGTAACTGTAATTATTCATTTCCACGTAACTATAATTATGTATTTTTACGTAACTGTGTTAATTGCAATTATTATTCACAAGATAGCAACAGCATCTGTTCGTTTGAAACCACGAACAAGCATCGTTTCGTTAATAAAATTAGTCCGACTGTGTTTCGTATATTTTGACAAAATCACAGTTTCGCCCCGATTTTTGACACTTTCAACGCCAATAAGTGTGAGAAGTCTGCAGTTTTTTAAATCTTCTAACGCTTGTAACTTGACTCTGTGTTGCCCGATTTCGATGGAATTTTCAGCATGCATGCTATCTTACCGAGATCTACGAAAGCCATTTTTTCAAATTTCCGTCATAGTTAAAAAAATTTTATTTATTTTGTTTTGTCACTCGAAGTAGTAGCATAATTGTAACAAGTAGTTCAATTGTAATAAGTAGTTTAATCATTGTCTACTATACTAGTGCCTTTGTTGTCTAAAAAATATTCAAATCGTTTAATCGAGTTTTGAAAAAGTTATCCGCGTTTTAAAAGGTGTCAGAATATTAATGGGGAGGTAACTGTACCAAGTTGGTAAGAATAGCTGTGGGGGAAGAGAAGGCATAGACACATAGTTCACGACCCCCGATACTTATGGTCGGTGATGCTCGCGTCACGGTGTTGCTGTCCGCGCTGGTTTCCGCGCTCGCGGCTTCCAATTTAATTGGATTACCCTGTACTATTCCATATTTTATACTTATCGAGTCGACCTCGTCGCTGTGACCAGTGCAAGCATGAAAATCGGCTACGCAAGGCGACGCATGCGCAGGGAGACCCGCACAGCGGCGTGGAGCGTCCACCGGGCGAACATTGTAATTCTGAGCTACGACGACGATCTTAGCTATGTTTTGAGACGTAAAGACAGCTTTATATAGGTCGTTGAATTCGTCTTGACGTCAGCTATAACATTATTAAATAAAAAAGATATAGTAACGATTAAATAATCGAGGTGACTTTAATTTTTTATTTAAAAGAAGTTCTTTTTTTATTTCTAATATTGATGTTTATGGAATACCGAGTACCGATTAATTTTTGTTCGAAACATTTTGTTGTCAAAGCACCGGAGATGACTGTAAAATTGCAATGACATGTGAATAATATATATAGTAGGATATTATAGTAGGATTTTCGTCATTACCGAATATTGTTGTTGTTCCGTTGATAATTGTTGGTACGATTACAAGGTAAAAGTACGTAGAAATAGTACTTTGAAGTAGCATTTCGAAAGAAAGCGCGATGTGTTGAGATTCGAAAGATATTAATTGTTAGTTATATAAAACGTTGACAATTCTCCTTAGTCAATTGAATATTAATGTTCAAATAAATTATAAGCAATATTTTTCATAAACGACAGTATTTTTAAGTACGTGAAACGTACCATTGGCAAAATAAAAATGTACAAACATCATTTATTATTCACTCGTTATCGCAATTTTTCAGTCATGCTTCGACAACAAAATGTTTCGAACAAAAATTAATCGGTACTCGGTATTCCATAAACATCAATATAAGAAATAAAAAAAGAACTTCTTCTAAAATAAAAATTAAATTGATTATTATTTAATAATTGATTATTATATATGATTATATTTTAAATTAAAAATTAAATTGATTATTTAATCGTTACTATATCTTTTTTACATTAATGTTATAGCTGACGTCAAGGCGAATTCAACGACCTATATAATAAAGCTGTCCTTGCGTCTTAAAACATAGCTAAAATCGTCGCGAACAGCTAATCCATCGATTGGGACCACGGTGCGTCGCCGTCGTGGTTCAGAATAACAATGTTCGCCCGGTGGACGTACCACGTCGCTGCGCGGGACTCCCTGCGCATGCGTCGCCTCGCGTAGTTGATTTCCATGCCCGGCACTGGCTGTATCGTGCGCCCCAACAGCATCGAGACCGTTCAAGCTTCGTTCGAACAAAACGAAACTGTCGCGCGTCCGACGATCAACCTCGGGATCTCATTTTCGCTGTTAGAAATAAATGATAACCCTGCTCGCTCGCAATAAATACGATCGATATAAAATCCAGTGTGTACGCAATTTTGTAGATTGGAGAAGGAACTCCAGCGCATGAATGACCCTGCTATGTCAGCAGAAGCTTGGTGTTTCATGATCGAAAGAATTCGGTAATTAGATGCCCGAGTAGTTTCGCAAGTAGAGCCTGATCAAACAATTGATCTTTGCAATTACAATTCGATGTCCGTAGTAAGTATGACCATTGAATCGATCGTATGCAAGGATAATCGAAGCATCCCGTACTTCGCATTCTGCCACATTTCTACCCTCGGACGTGCCATATCCGACCCCGGCCTGTGTCGAACGCTCTTCTTTCGACATTTTTCGATCGACGATTGTACGCGATTTTTGTCTGTTAAATTTTACGGTGACATGTTTTTTAATAGACCTCGCTTTCCGGGAATGATCGACTTCGAAAGTTCGTTTTTGACGAGACGCTAAGCGGCGTGTCCGAACATTACTCGCCAATTCTACTGTCTCGAAAGTTAATTATCTGTTCGACGAAGTTCCTTCTTCGTTTTCCGTTCGTCCGTTCCGCGTAGAATTTCTTAAGCAATCCAAGCTGTTCGTTCTTCTTAGGAATTTCTTACTTTGATAATTTTAATCAATCTTTTCCTTTTTTTATTAACTTGGAGCGTTTACAATCAATTCTCTCATGGGATTAAATATAATTATTGTGAGTAAATTTGTCGACGATTCGCTGCGACACGAGGGGTAGCTTGTACGATTACATCGGATCATTGATCATTATATTGGGTTGGCAACTAAGTAATTGCCGATTTGTTCAATGAAATAAAGAATTTGCAGAAAATTGCAATATAATTTCCGATCAACGCGCGTTCTCCAAACAATTGATGCGACACTCGGACCGCAATACGATCGTTTCACGAAACCTAATATTGTTCGTCTGCATGCGTATCGAATCGTTGACATATCTCGAGGTAAATATTCGAAGAAGAAGAAGAAACGAAAGGAAAGAGGGGTTGCTAGAAATCACAGATGGTCGTGGACCACCGGGCCACGTGAAGCTAACCGTGCAAGTTTTCTAATAAAATATTGGGTTGGCAACTAAGTAATTGCCGATTTGTTCGATGAAATAAAAAATTTTTTTTACTTGGAATGAAGTTTAATCTGTAATGTATTTTCCAGTTTGTTCGATGACCTTTTGCCATCTCTCTGACAACTTGAAAATTCCGCGCTCGTAGAAAGTCTGATCCTTTTCGGCCAAAAACTGAGTTAAGTGAGATTTTACAGCGTCATCGTCGTTAAAAGTTTTACCACGAAGGGAGTTGTCCAGGGATCGAAATAAGTGGTAATCCGATGGCGCGAGATCAGGGCTATATGGTGGGTGTAACATCAATTCCCAACCAATGTCCATCAATTTTTGCCGAGTGGACAAAGACGTGTGCGGCCTAGCATTGTCCTGCTGGAAAATTACACCTTTACGATCGACCAATTCTGGTCGCTTTTCCTTGTTCGCTGCGTTCAATTTGTCCAGTTGCTAACATTCACGGATAATAAAAAATAACATAATAATAATAATAATAATTTTATAATATAACATTTACGGATATCATAAAAATGGGAGTGAGAGACATCTATAACTGAAATCGGCAATTACTTAGTTGCCAATCCAATAGCATAATAACCTGTGCGATCGCCGTTATATTTGGAATAAAATTTAATAAATCGAGAATTATGTTCGAATAGTCATCGAGCTTTCGAATTAACAAGAACACCGTCGAACAGGTCTTTAAAAATTGATCGACCATCTATTTTATCGTGCGCAATTATGTAAAC